TGCATTGCAACATCATGTCAAAGTTATTCACAATTTCATAGGGTAGACACCTCTCATGTCTGAAACTGCTAAAACTATGTGATTGTGAAAAAATGGTTCATGTTCTTCAAGGTGACAATGTAGGAGCTAGAAATAGTGAAAAAGTAGTAGTGTTGCAGAAGTTGGGGAGCCTCGTACTGAAATAGCTTCCAAGACTCACAAGTTTTGGTGAATTCCCCAAGTTAAAGATGGTTAGAGTGGAGGACGTTCCAAGCATGACCACATTTGTGAAGCAGCCTTTCATGACCCCATTGAAGCAAGTTTACGTGACATATATTACAAAGTGCTGGCTAAGAGACCTCAACCGGACAATAAGATACTTGCATCAGAATCTTGGTACACTAATTAATTCATCAAACTACGTACGTACTCTAGTACTCTTCATTTTATTTACTTTTGCTTATCATGGATATTGTTTTTCTTTGTTTCTGTTGCCTTTAATTTTCCTGATAGGCATTGTTAACGAGGTTTGGAGAACTAATCGGCAAGGCTTTGACTACCAGAATAGCTTGGGGATCAAAAATATAGATTTGGAAAGTTTTTCATAGGTGCTTTACTCTCTGACTTTTATCATCAAGTAAATCACTAACTTGCTTCCATTATGTTTTACTGGAATCAAGGATTGATATTTAAAAATGGATCATAAACTTTGTGTAAAAATTTAATAAATTTTTAATTTTATCCCTATTAAATATATATAATTTTAATAACTTATCTTTTCTCACTAGCATCTAATGCAATAAAAGAAAAATTTGTAATTAAAATTTAATAATGTGACTTATAAATAAGATTTAAAAAAATCTGTCTTTTATTCCATAAATTGGACTAGAAAGAGTAACACACATGCAGGCAGGTGTAATTACACACATATAAGTTTTAATGGTTTCCTTTATTATTTCAATTCATGGCAAAAGAAAAAAAAATCTTAAATTCAATTATTCTTATTTGAGACTGTTGATTTCTAAGTGCATTTTTTCAAAAAAAAAATTGAATTAAATTTTAATATTAATATTAATAATATGATTTGTGGGATTGAGTTATGACGTTGATTTATATGAAAGAAATAAGCTTGAAGAAAGTTCTTCAAATTTTTAAATGAAGGCAAGGTGTTAATTTTTGTGCGTGCGTGCGTGTGTTTAAGTGACTTCATACGCTCTTCTTCTAATTAACTCTATTAATATGATTTGTAGAGCTTTCAAGAGCATATTGTTGATATTGATCAGGGAATGGAAAAGATAAGTTTGAGTTTTAATGAAGCAGAAACTGGATTGCATCAATGCACGCACGTATATTTATATGTGAATTACCATTCTATTAATAATGTGAACTCTTTAGATATTATATTATAAATGAGATCTTGATGATCACTCGAGCTTTAGATTCAAATTTCATGTGTATAGTTTTAGTTAATTTCAGGAGTTGATTCTTTTATTTGAATTATTATAGATGTTTCATTTTGACATGTCCATCAAACTATAATGCAAGTTGCTTTTGTTTATTTGTTTTAAATTTAAATTTCTTTTTTTTTTCCTTTTATTTTATGACCTCCTTTCTTTCTCCTAGAATTTTTGGGGGCTTGTCCACCAATCTGTTTGTGTTAATGGTCATCACACCATGATTGAATAGTGATATTATATTTTGTAAGTGTTTCTATTTTATTTTTAAAAAAGTTTCTCTTATAGATTACTTTCATCTTTTGAATTGTTCCGAGGGATTTTTTTTTTGGTCTTGGGAAGATTCCTTCTAAAGATTTGGGAAGAAAAATAGGAATGGGCACAAGCCTTTGAATATATTTTAATTTGTTTTCTTTGAATTCTTTCAACTGCTTTTAAAATTTTAACTGAGTTTCTTTTTACCAACATATTTTAACTAAGTTGCAACTTACGAAAAGTTCACAAATTTATAGTGCGTGCGTGCGTGTTAATAAGATAAGGTTAATCTTAAAAATAGTTTGGAATGCATCATCAATGTCAATTAAGAAATATCAATGTAATCATCAATATCAATCAATATATACAGTACACTATATGTAAAATAATTGCAGATGAATAGTTATTTTAATTTTATTTTTAATGTTAAAAATTTATAAATTGTTCTTTTTTAAAAGAAAAAATTAATTATTTGATTCATGTAATTTTTACTCAATTGTAATTCAATCCATAAATTTCATAAACTTTAACTTGGGAAAACCCATTTCCTATAAGTTTGCCTTCATCAAAACTCTTAGATCTTGAAATTTAACTCCCTACAATCCAACCCTTATAGTTTAAATAATTTAAAACTTTAATCTCTTAATTTTAAGAAATAATTTTAGTTGTCATAATTTTATTTTTCAAAATATAATAACCAACATTTTAAATGATTTGAATTATAAAAATTAAATTGTACTGAGTCAAAGCTCATTGACTAACTTTCGATCAAGTCAAAAGTGTGTTGTACTTAATCAAAATTCATTAATAGAGTTTTAACAAAATTAAAATTGTAAGAATCAAATGATTATTTTTTTTAAAAAAATATATACAGTAAAGAGTGTGAAAGGGACCCACAATAAATAAAGGTATCTGTAGCATGCTTAATGAATAAGAAATTTAATTTACAAAAATTGTAAAAATGTAAGTGTTGGGAGATAAAATATGATTGGGCACATATGAATGAAAGAATGAATGAGGTTCAACCCTCTGTTACTAAGACCATATTGAGCCAAGTTAGGTTAATATGTTGAAGTAGGTTGGCCCATGCAACGGTGAGAGTTTTGGGTCAATGGCCTATCAAGCAAACTTGGACTAGCCCAAATATGATTTTCATTTGATTAACTTACTCTTTTCCTTTATTTGATCTAATTTTTAAAATAATATTTCTTTATAAGTCAAGTGAATGTGGTATAAATAATGGATGTTTAGGCTTTTTAAGCATCATTCCAAGGATCAAACCCTCGAATGACATGCACATAGAAGAAGAAGTGCATATAGGCTTTATAAGATTGTAAAGGGGAGATATTAAGAAATCTAAACTCATATAGCAGTAATTCTAAAACTCTTTTATAACTTAAAAAACACATGTACCATTTTAAAAGAAAAAATTTAAAAAGTATTTCTGTTTATTAAATAAAAGAAGAATGATAATTAAATCCTAAAATAATGAATTACATATAGTTAATGAATGTCGGATAAAAATTTTTGAAAATAAGTTATAAATATTAATTGGCATAATTACATATTCAGAAATTTCAATTACAAATATAACATTTTAATTCTAAATATAATTCTTAGTTTGCATCAAGGATTTTTGTTGGTAAATATCTAAATCAATATTTATAATTCAGTTTTTAGAAAATCTTATCTAGACCTAAATGGCATTAATTCAATATTTTGGGATATTTATTATCATTAAAGGTTCATTTGTTTTAGCTTATTTTATAAAAAAATCATCTATTTTTTTAAAAATATATTTTATGAATTTTTCTGATATTTGTAACTTTTAAAAATAATCAAAATTTGAAGAAAAGTAGCTTCTGCAAATATCATAAAGTTTTAAAGAGAATATTTTTAAAGAGGTGGAATACACAAAAATATCATAAAATTTAAAAATAATAGAATAGTAAATTATTTTTATAAAACAGAAATTAAAGAAGATATCCTAAAATTTAAAAGTAACTAATTGAAATTTTTTTTATTATTGTGGTCAAACACAAAAATAATATATACTTATGAAATAAATATATTTTTATAAAATCTTTAAATTATTTTTATCTAAAAATTACTTATTTTTAAATCTCAAGCAGGCCTTAAAGCATGATGTCCTTTAATTGAAGGTTAATTTGGTATAACTTGAATTTTAAGGTTTATAAGTCATAATTAAATTTCACATAACTAAAAATCTTTGAACATATACGTAATGCACTTTTTTTTTTTTGGTAGAACGTACATAATGGACTTTATTGTAATTCCTGGTTGCTTGCAACTTAAATGGATCAGAAGAAAACATGAACTTCAGCTTCCTTTATTTTATTCTGACTACTATGAACCTTACTGACTCGCGGAGCTGATGAATTGCAATACCTCTGGTTCTGCTCCCCGCAGATCTCTATGAAAGGTTCAAGATGAATAGAATTTCTAGCGTTGAGTTCCCTAAGGTTACAGATATAATTCTTGAGCATTTACCTGAATTCACTGGGATCTTTCCCGATCGAAGAATGCAGTGTTAAAATCCCAATATACCCTTCAGTGCATAATAAAACAATTTATTTTATTGTGATATTTCAGTTTTCAAAATTGGTTCCATCCATCTAGCTCTTATTTTTACAATTATAATATAATATACTTTGATGCAGAAAGTAATTAACACAACATCAATGACAACTACAAATATACATTATAGAATGAGAGTCTCTGAAATATATGGTAAAAAAATTTTAAGATATGATCTTTATATATCTTTTAGAACTAATCACTATTAAATATCATTTTTTCTCGTTAAATTACATTTTAACTAGAGATAACTACCCTCATTAAATTTATAGCAAAATAAAAAAAAACTGGGGTGGGGGGGGGGGAGCTTGACAACTATAGTAAGGTACTCATAGTCCTTCACCAATTGGCAAGGAATTTGGCATTAGCAAGGACCATATCTCTCAATAAACCCATTCAAATACTGATCATTTTAGTGAGAGATTTGTCCCTCACTGATATTGTTTGAATGACTTCTTAATTATTAAATGCATATGGGTATTTATTAATTATCAAATAACTATTTGTTAAAATATGATATATACTTGTCTTTTTTTATAACCAAGCTTCTTCAAGTTTTTAACTATGTCAATTAGGGAATAACTTTTAATTAAATATGAATGAGTATTTATTAATTAATGAATGAATACTTACTTAAATAAATATATGATTTGGAAACTTGAAAATTTGGAAGCCAAGAAATTTTAAATTTTGTCATATATAATTAAAGGAGCTTGATGGCCTAGCAGCTCTTTAACCTTTTGGTTGCCACCTGGATAATTTAATTGGATGTTGGCTTCCATGTTCGTGGTAGCTCCTTGGAAGCAAGAGCAAGACCGTGACAATGACTAATGATATACTTCTCGTCGTCCGGTAGCTCGTGCCCTGCTCGTTGAACTACGTTCTTCTGTTCATCTAGTAGCTCATTTCTCGTTTGATGAACTATGTGTTGCACAAAAGTGTGATTCGAATCCTTATGATAATGTTGCCAGCTCCAAGGGCTAAGCTGTATCAGAGTATTCCTTTCACCAACTATCTGCTTCACCACCTTCTTTATCCTACTCGTTACCACCACGACACCGCCTCTATCTTCCTCCCATACTGCTATTCCATGGCACAACTCAGCGAACCACTCGTCACAGTGCCACACATCATCAAACACTATCGCGTAATTCCCTAGCTTTTGTAATCGACTCCTGAGTTCTTCCACAAGCGTATTGGTAGTTTCTTTATCCTGATTACCTGTCAAGCTATCAAGATCATAATGCAAATAATTTAGCAAATGTTTTACGATCTTGATGTCTACCTCATCTTTGCGAGTTAAGTCCGATAAGTATGCCCATATGATATTGCCCTTGAATTTCTTATAAAATTCTGGACGTGCAAAAACCTGTTTAACGAATGTTGTCTTCCCTGAACCACCCATCCCATAAATTCCAACGGCCTTGTATTTACCATCACTTGACGCCGATAGCCAATCAACCATCTTTTGTTCATGTTCATCGAATTTCGCAATATCAGATGATGGTGGACGACCATACTTGTAGAATGTAAACCGGTCTAGCAAGAATTCAGGGGGATGCAAACCTTCGGCCTCTTTCTCCAATTTCTCCAACACCGTTTTCATCTTATCAACTTTACTATATATACTGGACTCTTCCTTCCTCTGAGCCATATCAGAGAAGTAAATTGGAATTCTCTTGATGGACTTCTTTTGCTCCCTGAGGATTTTCCATTCGTCAAGGGCGTCATGAAGTTCATAAAGTAATGAGATTGATTCGGGCATGGTTAGGCATGCATCGTTGGTCTTCAACTTGTTTCCGATGTCTCAAAATTTTTCGATGAACTTAGTATCTGATGATGAGTAGGACTTCTTTTCAGCAGCACTCAATGAATCTAAGTATTGTTCCCTCAAAACTTTGGCAATGTCAGATGCCGTGATAGAAAATCAGTTACAGAACTGGGCAGTTTCCAACACTTCTTGGAGGAAGACGAAGCTCGAAATATTGTCTGAGGAAGGCTAAAAGGAAAGTATTTCATTTATTTTAGAAACAAGAAGAAAGCTCTTATATATATTTTGCCAAAAAGAAGGTATCTTATCTTCTGTTTTCTTCTTATGAGACCCAAAGAATCAATCTACCTATACACCAAAGCATCTCTATGTCTTTCATTCTCTCTATTTTTACTGATGCTAATCATGAAGAGAAACACAAAGATCTCGTAAATTCCTTTTAACTCAAAAAAAGAATAGCGCTACCGTGAATGGGTAGTCCTCCTGTTGATTCCTTTTTACGAGACACAAGCAAAATTCCTCTCTCCATATAGTTGAACTGGCCTGCACACGTGCGCACGCCACGAAATTCTTGACCTTAAATATTGCATCATTGTGGACATATATGCTCTCACCCATGTATTAGAATGTTCCTTAATTTATTCACGCCCATATATTTCAGTGAAAAATTAAAGCTCGAGGCTTTGAACAATATATTCAAGTTGTTAATTAAATGTCTTAGGAAGGGGGAGCAACCATATATATGAAAATAGGAAAAAAAAGAAATGAATAAGAGTAGTAGAAACCATGTCTTAACTCAAAATTTTGAAACTCAAGTTTATTTCTTCTCTCTATTTTATAAGGAGAATTAACCTATAAGTCCTTATAGTTTTCCTCAATTTTAAAATAGGTTATTATAGCTTATTTTGTTTTAATCTTGTCTTAAAGTTTGATCTATCAAATATGTTAATTATTTAATGTTAAAATTAATAATAAATTATTAAATTTTCCAAAAAAAATACTTTTAGAGTTTATAGAAAATTTAATTTAATAATCTTAGCCAAAATAAAAAAATTGATTTAATAAACTTTTTAAATTTTTATTAATTTTTTATGAAAATTATATAAGTATAAAAACATATTAAAAAGACAACCTAATTATATAAATTTTGAGTTATAAAATTATGTAATTAATTCTAAATTTATATAATCATTTAATAAAAATATAGAGGTTCTTAATTTTGTTTTTTAAAGAAAAAATTCAAGGATTTTATTTTTCTTAGTTAAAAAGTATAATTCATCAAGCCATAAGGATTCAATTGAAACAAAGCAAACTACAAGGACCTAACTCAAAATTGAGAAAAATATTAGGACACACACACACACACACACACACACATTCTATTTTATATTAGTTATTAAGTTTAACTTTATCTAATATGATATTTTCTAAATCAGTTTAAGTTTACTTACACTTGGACAACATAATATCATATTATTTAGGTTTTTTTTAAGTGTAGATAATTTATGAGGAATGCGTGTGTGTATACATTCATTATAATGTCAAGGCTTGCACTGTACTCGTACATGCATCAATCCATGTTGTTTTATTGACTTCTTTCCAATTTTGAACAATTTCATTTAGACTCATGAATAATAGTTGGAATCTAAAAGGCACAATATTGTGTGCGTGCGTATGTGTGAACAACGTGAATGTTGTCAATATCTTTCCTATTTTTAAGAGGAAAAATTAATTTGCAAGTCCTTATAATTGTACTTAATTTTGAATTAGGTTTTTATAATTTATTTTGTTTTAACCAAGTCTTTATAGTTTAATCGATTACATATGTTAATCTCTAATTGTTAAAAAATTTTAATATAAGAATTTAGAGGAGGAAGACATATCTAAAAGTAGTCGCACATATATAAAATGCAAGAACGAGACTTTGTTATTGATTCACAACAAATGCACTTAAGGGAAAGAAAGAGGAAACGAGTGAACAATTGAGTGAGAGTCGTCAGTTTTTGATTAATCATCATTATCTTTTGTGGCTCTCTTCTTAAAACTACCCACATTGGTGGGAGTTATTCAGCGTTCTGCGTGCATGCGTTGTGCTCTATAATTGTTCCCTCTCTAATTTAAACAATTGAAGAAAAATCACACATTTGACCCCAAAGCATATTATGCTTTCAGGCCCAAGTCTTTACTATATTCTGATAAAACTCTATGGGCCTGATCTATGGAGTTATATTGGGCCTAATCCACTAAGAATGGATTATTCAACATCTCCTACTCACACTTGGTGGAGAATTTAATATCAGTTTTGTTCCTTTCTCTCTCTTCTTTCATATTATGTGCTTTATCACGACTGCATTGGCTTGACGTCTTCATTTTGGGTGTTCGCACTAGGAATCCTATTAAGAACCGGCATAAATAACCCTAAAATTGAATTTATTCTTAATTAAATTTTTACCTTAATGTCCTAGATTTATCAATATACACTTTTCTCATTATGACTAATCTGATTCCTCTTGAGTCAGTCTAAGACATAGATAGTCTCTTTTATATGCATATTATCCACACTTATGAATCAACAAATTATTTCATAAGGGACATGTCTCAAATACGAGCATAGACGTGGATATTTAAGATAATCTTTCTTTCGTTCATATACCACTTTAATAGAAGATAGTCATTTTCCTAACATGATACCTTTAGGTCGCATCTATCATGACCATAGGATGTATGCTAAAGTAGTAAACACTTTGACATATCTCCATGATAATGTCAACGTCAAAGGACATAATTCAAAAGATTTTTCCTTTTTGGGACTCACACAGCAAAGAAGTAGGGATTTATTCACTTGCTTCCCATTGCAATTCTTATGCACATGTGGTATGAAACACATGTTATGGTATCACTCTTGCTCGTAAAAGCATACGTCATTTTCGTGTATTATTAACATCATACAAACTTAAGTTTAGATACTCACTGTACCTAAATTCAAATTCTTCTTCTCTATTGATCTCGTATGACATCAATTTAGAAGAATTTATTGTTTGGCTATAGGTATCATGGATATGATCTATGACTTGATCCAAGTATACTTATAGATCTCATCTCAACTTGCTCTTTGATCGAGGCAACATATGATTTGTGTTTCTTCTTTACTATATCAACATTTCTATTGCCTTGTTAGTGAACACAAATGTCTCATCTTTGATTTGAATATCCAAGGTAGTTGCTTATATGAGAGAGTTAACCTTGTCAACCTGTATGACATACTAGACATTATATATTCTCGAGCGTACAGATATGGATGTAATGAAAATTCTTATTAATACAACCAAAATATTACATCAAATCTATCTTTTCACAATCTAGCCATGCCAAGAGCCCTTATATGTTTCTCAAATATCTCCCTTAGCTATGGTTTTGTTAAGGGATACGCTATCATACACTTTATGAAAATGTATTGAATAGTGATAACCTTTTACGCTATATAATCCCTTACAAAATTGTACTTGATGTTTATGTGTTTGGTTTTGCTGTGGAACTTAGAATCTTTAATGTAGGCTATGGCTGCAGTGTTATTTGATAACCCTCAGTGCATGGCACATTTCCAAAAAAACAATTGTGCCTTATTAAGTCTTGATTTGTGTGTTTGTGCTTTCGCTAGCTCTCTTATTTGATTATATATTTTAAAAAGTCAGGATCTCGCATTTTGAAAACAATTCAAAGGATATTACTCTGATAATATGTTATTATTGTTTGTTGATTGTATGATTAGGAATGGTAAAGTTTAGTGTAATGTTTGCCTTGACATTATCAAGACAACACTCTTATACACTATTGTGATAATCAAGATTAGATAAAATCTCAAGTAAAGGTTATCACAACCCAAGGGTTTAAAATATAATTAGTTAAAAAAATGGGATCCCAAAAAAACTCATTTTTTTTAAATATTATTTGAGCTCAAATTATAGTTCAAAATCAATTAAGAATAAAATACGGAAGCATGAAATCAATCCACTTTAAATCAAGCTAGAATAAGCCATTTTGCAAATATCTAGATCGTTTATCACAGTGCAAGCCACATCCGCCACGGTGTAACTACCATGCGTTGTGGCGCGCACCTACTGTCATGACAGCAGATTGCTATCATGACAGCTTTCCAAACTTCTAGAGCTTGCCATTTCACCATCCAATGTGCAATTTGAGCAATTCAAGTGTCCACACTAAGCTCTTATAGCCCTCTAACTAATGGCACTAGTCTCACACTTAAATAATCATCCGTTAAAAAGATAGACACCAAAATCTAAAATAATTTGTTTTCACCTCAAAACACACACAAAGGTGTCCAACTCACAATGCCAAATGCCATTAGCCCTAGAGACACTTTGACTACCTCAAATGGACCACACACAACATATCAATTCATTCATATAACATAAATAAGCAATCACACTCAAAATGACCACTAAACCCTCACTTGACAATGACAAAATGGGGTAGATTAAATTTAACACACATATCAACTTGGTCATTTCAACATATAAATCACTTCAATTATATCATTTGTAATTGTAACTTGATGGAGCATACACAACATCAACCTTAGACCAAGATACGCATACTTATCACAAATTTATACAAGTGATATCCTAAAATAATGTCATGTTCTTAAATTGGCATTATATATTGACAATATTCATTACAATACCTAAAAAGAGAAAAGGAAAGAGCTATACAATTATACTCTTCACTCTTCAATTGCCCCTTCCTTTCCATTGCCCTTATTGGAGTCTTCAGCTGTAAAATATAGCTATAGGGTGAGATAAACATCTCAGTAACAAAATAAAATAAGGCTAGGTTGAGCATAAAACTTGGATAAAATAGTGCAAGAACTTGATATTTACATATTAAATAAATAGTTTTGCTAGTAAGATAGATATATACTTGCTAGCCTTGCATAGTCACATTAGGGTTGATGTTCAAAATTGATTTTTATTAATTGTAACAAGAGATTAGTCAATTAATTTAACCAAACACTTGTTCATGACTTGACAGAGCTTGTTCAAGTATTTTTAAAACCTTAGGTTCGTATTTATCTCCATTAAAAGCATTTATGAGAGGAGATAATTTTGGTGTTATGAAATGCAAGGGGGTAAATAATCCTAGGTCCCAA